AAAAATCAGGTCTTAGAAGGCCTAAGAGCCAAAACGGTTGTCATATTCGGATTCAGCACATTTTTTTACCTATTACCCACTAGCTTAGAGCTAAAAAGCGAGGTGGCAGTTGGTGACCTTCCCTCGTCAGTTTTCGATGATGACGCCGAATATGATATTTTTATTGCATAAAAAGTGAGTTCTAATTGAAAAAATAGAGAATTACAGATTCCGACTTTTTCGCTCCGGATTTAGAAAAAATGTATTCTCTTAGTGATAAAGCAAAATAAACGAAAAAAGCGATCCGTACTTTTGGAGCCCGCTTATGGGTGGTTCTAATGAATATAAATAAGTCATAAAGAATGGTAAAACGTAAAAAGCCTGTAAAAATAAAGATGCTTTGAATGAGATTCGTAACAAACAGAGGAAAAAAATGTGTCAACGTTTTTCGTAGATTTTCAAATCAGCCGTTTTCTTACGCAGTTTCTGGTGCCCTTTCGATTGACATGTCTAAAAAACACTTCATCCATTCATTACCGAGCTTAGATTAGTCGTACAAAACATTTTTGCAGCACTTCGGTACTCGAAGAGATGGTATTCGAGCATTGTCGTTTCACTCTGTCGCCTTAGAAACTTCACGTAGTGTAGCTGCCGGGTTTTGCCTTAACTAATTTGGATGCTCGTCTTAACTGTCGAACATCATATCTTTGCAATACTACCAACAGATAACAACTAATGAACCATTACTGTGAGGTTCTACTCGCTCACTTCTCATATTTATTTGCATAAAGTGAACGGCTATATATAGTACAAGAAAGAAGCAACAGTTGTGCAAGAGTTGCGCAGGAGTTGCGCCAGAACAGAAAGAATTTGGAAAACAACTGTAAAACAGAAAGAAAAGGATGAAACAAGCGTTGCGCAAGAACAGGATTACGTAAGACACAATGAGTCACGAACGAAATGAACAGAAAGAAAGGAAAAGAAGAAGAGAACATAGTCTTATGAGCTGCCAGGAATGGCAGATCATAACAATTACACTAACTAAAACGAACACAATAATTATCCAACGGGTGCAAAGGGTCACAGGTCCTACTTAATACTGCTGGTCCTCTAGCTGTACTATATTGCTGAAAGCAAGAAAGATGGATAGTTCATTACAAAATATATCCAGTTATATTTTGAATCTAACAATCAGCTACATTCATGTGTTTAAAATAAAAGTTCTTTTTATATTGTCTCACTAATCTAATTTTTTCAGAATAGCATATTCAATTATATTAAAATACAATTCTTTCTTTTCCACTGGCATGCATACAAAGTAAATCGAGTGCAATTAATAGGTAAAATAACTGCAATATACTCTGAAAGGTTCTAGGATTGAAATTTGTTATGCGCTGCCGAAACGCGTTTGATTTGTGATTCCTCTGCCACGGCCTCTTACTCGTCCACAAACCGGCTCAACTAAATTATCTTGTGAAGATTGGCAGGAAAGAGGCACACAGCACTGAACTTGATGCTGCTCACGGTTCACATTTTCGGCCCTGTTCAGTGTACCAGACATGTGTGCGTTTCTTTGTGATTGTTGATTTCGAACGTTATTAGGATTATTTGAAGATGTTCTTGGACTGTATCGAACATCTTGACTGATTCGTGATTCTGTTTTTTGACAATCTTCAGCTTTAACGTTATCGTACAGAGGGGGACTGTTTGGACTTTTCCAGTGATCGTAAGATCCATTGAACTTCATTAATCTTCTTGTATCATTTTTATTTCCAAGTCGACAAATAAAACTATCAGACTCGAACAAAATATTCATCGCGTTACTCCTATAAATAGAACAAAAAAAAATGCGAAGTTAAAACACTATATAAACGAGAAATTTTAACAAAAAGGTAAATATTATCCCACTTTGTATAGTAGCGCGAAGAGATGAACAAAGTACTATCGCGTAGAAAGACACCTTGCAAATAGTTTTTCGGAAAGTTTCCTAACAGTCAGCAAAAATGGACAAAATTAAGGTCCAAAATTGAGTCGAAAAGGTGGAGCAAGGAAGTTACAATCAGAGTTTCATTTTCTAGAAAAATCCAGGCTTTTTTGCAAAAGATTTTCAACAAATGTTAGGTTTTTGACCTTTACTATTCTAACCTTTTGAGTACGGGAGGCGCGAATTTGCGTCCTGAGATTTTGCTCTCTGAATAGCTTTCGTAAATATTACATATTGATTATTCAATGAAATGAATGACCCAGTTTTGTCTGCTAATCTCAAATATGTTATTAGTGTTGCTTGAAAATATATGGGGAGTGAAAAGGGCGCAAAATAAGTGAAACAGTGAAGATTAGAGGTATGTAATCTTTCTAACAAAAGTTTCACCTAAGTTTTACGAAACCATCCCTTTCCATGATTTTTTTTCATGATTATGATGTACATTGAATGCAAATTCTATAGTAGAAAGAGTGAACCTTAGTTCATCACCCTCACTCTTTTACGCATGTTTCAATCGTGGGTGTTAGTTCTCAATGACTTTCCAGAACCACACAATAGTTAACCTTCATACTTCGGCTAGATAGTCTACAGACACTGTAGAGTCTTTGGTGCGAATCTGAAATTTTTTTCCGAAAGGATCTCGAAATTTCAATGAAAAAAAAAGCGAGCTAGTAAAAAGCTGTATTTACCTGACTACTAACAGCAAACTCACGAAATTCATATAGCTTGCAGAGCAGACCCGTGGCTACTTTTTTGTAAGAAGAAAAAGTTTTCAATTCTCCCAGGTCAGGATCTATTGATATTTTACGGAAAAGAAATAAGTCACTTATGTCTCACGAACCATCCAGTAAAAGAGGGTCAGACTTGATGGGTGATCCGCAATCGGTATGACCACTAAAAACCAGAAGTTCCTGGCTATCATGGTTCTTGATTTGCAGGGGTGTTGCTACTTTTGCGGGAAAAATAATCCCTTACTCAAAGGGCTAAAAGTAAAAATATAAACGCTATTATTCTCTATTATGAACAATTTTCACGGAAGCCATAAAAGCTAAAAAGTAGCGAATGGTATATTTGCAATTTCTTTTCCGCGACTTTATCTAAGTTTATGTTTTCAGATACTTGCCAAGCGATAACATCTCCTATATCTATTGTTGAAGAATTCAATGAATTTTCAATTATTACAACCAAGTAAGCTTCTTTTTCCTTCCGCTTGTCATTCAAAGCAATATTGGTACAGACTTGTAATTCGTTATTCGATATATGAAAGGTAGTAGTTTCTATTGTACTTTCCTTTGATACCTTTAACTTCAATAAATAATGTCAAAATATTACCGCCAATCCCTTGTACAAATATCTGACGAGTGTCTTTCATGATAAAATCGTATCCAACTGAATCATCCACATTTTGACGAAGGTTAGGAAATATCAATAAACGTGTAGATGATTTCCAGTTATTTGTCGGTGTTATATCAGCCCCATATAGCTGTTCCAAATACCGATAAAAGAAATGTTCTGCACAATGACCAATGTGTTCTTGTTCGGTTGAGTCAAAAATCATGGGCATCGCTAAATGTTCTTGATTAGTGTTAAACAATAGTCCATTACTCAATGTTTTTAGTGAGTTCGGATGGTGTTCGGATTGTTTTTGTCCTAGTTTTATCACTAAATCTTGTGCACGGGCTTGATATAGCTGATCATCAGCAATAAAATCAATTTTTACATGATTAGTTTTAGGATGACAATTAATTTTTCTTTGTTCATTTTCGTCAAATAGACTGCCATTATCTGTTGTATCGGTGCCAAAATGCTTTCCAAGTAAAATTGGATTCTGTGTAAATGATCCATGATCAATGGGAAACAAAATATCTGTATAGTTATATATATCTGTTTTTCCACCAGCTTCTGACCAAATATCAGTGGAGTGGAACGATGTACATAATTGTATTTTTTCTCGCGCTATTACTTTTGCTTCATCTAACAATAAATGATTTCGTTTGTGCAACAGAGTGGTTAGTGCCAGTGAAACCGCAACAGTTGCTTTTCCTTGAATATCTTGGATAAATCTAATACATAAAACGATTGTATTATTAAATATCCAAAATGGATAATCGATTTCTAAGTAATATCTATCAACAGTACTAACGTAATCGACGTTATCAACAGTTAGTACAGTACTGCCCGATAAATAATGACAAATTGAAGTATAACTGGCTCCAATCATTGATAATGTATTGTCTTTTAATGTTTCTTGAAATGTTTTGTTAATTGTTGCAATGTGCATTCAAGATTATTTACTGCATGACTCCATGCTATTAATCCTCGTCTCTCAACATAATCGACATTTAATGATGCCATTAATAATGGACAATTTTTTGTTATAATTGGAGAGATGAATCGACGAATACTATTATCTTTTACAAAATTTTGAATTAAATTTAATTCTGAACAAGAATAAACAATATTTATTGGACTGGCAACAAGTTGTTGATCAACAGTTAACAATGGAATAAAACATTTTTCATCAAGCGAAGTCATTTCATACGTATGATATTTTATTCTGTTTATTTCACTTTGAGTAGGCAATAGTGCTTTTAGTTCTGTATGTGATGCCATTAATTGAAATCGCCAATTCCATTCATCTTTACTACCATATGGTGCATTCATATTCCGTTGATTAACTATTTGACACAGTTCTGGATGATATTTTAGGATCGTTGATAATAGCAATGTTTCCAAATACTGTAATAAAATTGAAACATTTTCTCTTCCCATTTCAGTTAAGATCATTGTACAATCACTTATTTGATAAAAATTACTTTTATCTAAGCTCATCAGTTGTAAAATAGCAATTACGTCTGCTATGGTTGTTTGATAATGACAACCAAGGGTTATAAATAAGGTTTTAAATTGCCAGTATCTACTATTAAAAGTAGGTGAGATACATTCATAACTTAAATATTTAGTAATCATTTTTATTTCTTCTGTGTATTTAACATCTGTAGTAATAAATAATTCATTTAGTGAACAAAATTTATCGGAATCAGGCATGTATAGCTTACATGTGGATACTATATCTCTTAAGTTATATTGTTTTTGTCGAATGTACAATTGTAAATGAACCATCCATTCAACATATAAGTCAACATCTTTGTGTTGATTATTACTCAATATCTGTAAAACAGTCAAACAAGATTTTAAATTGATTTCAGTACAAACACCTAATAAATTTGCTAAATGACGTGTATGTAAAGGAATATCTAAACTGGGTAATAGTTCTAAACCATTGATTAATGTTTGATCATATGTTGCTGAAACAGAACTCACCATTTCATTTGAACATAAAATTGGAAATTGTTGTAATGATACTAGTATTTTCTCTGACTGATAATGTAAAATTTCTGCAGCTAATTTAGCCGATACACATGAATAAGAGGTAAACGATGGTAAAATTGAAAGAGTATCTAATAAATGTTTGTCAGAAATGTACAATATTGATGGTTTACATCCAATTTGTATAAAAAAGAGTTCCTATTTTAATGTATCTTGTAAAATATCATCTTCATCATCTAATGGATATGGAAAAATAATTGTCTTCTCATTTAATGGATGAAGATATTTCGATATATGACGACCTAATATAGTCAGTATTGTTACATTTTGAGCCGAATGCAAAGTATTATTTTTAATAGGTATTAGAATAGAATTATATAGTTCATTTTGTAATAGACGCTTTAATTCTTCAATGTTTTTTCTCAAATAAATTAAATCCATCCAAATTAAATTCATTTTTGATCCTTTCTGTTCTATGTTGGCAATAGCGATTGATATTTGTTGAAATAATAAAATCCACCATTCGTTTTCTTGTTGTTGTGACCAGTTTTTAAAATCATTTCGAAGCATATTTGTTGTATCATAATTATCAGGAAAACAATTTAATATATCTATGACTGATACTGTTGCTATATCATATTTTTTAAACTTTTCAAGGAAAAAACTGTTGACCTCGACGTATCAATGACTTGAATATTAGCACAGTTAACGAGTTGTTCATTATTCACTAGTGATGATAAATCCGAATTTATGAAACGAATACATTTACCTAAACAAAAAAACGAAAATTAATTACAGGTTTTAATGGTTCCAAACAGAGACCGTTACAAGACAGATTTTTTCGCTCTGCCCTACTTTGCCCTCTTCTGTCAGAAAATTACTGCTAGAGACAAAAAGCACACACACATATATCAACAAACACATAACTGAGAGAAAGAAATATGAATGCTGTTAACAAATGTTGCTACTATGCTCAACGTAGTCGATTACCTATAGTCCATGGCATTTTGAGATTCCCAGAGATGTCTGCTCGGAGATAGACAAGTGCTGGCATGCCAAAAAAGGACTAACATTTTATGTTAGTTTTCTGAGAACAGAGCTGGTTTTCCAAAGATCCTCTGGAAACCCGATCTTTGGAATTTTTTCAAAAGTTGCTTCCGCTTGTGAAAAGTTCTGCTCAAGTCTTGGCTATTGAACAGCAAAAATCGCAGGTTTCTATCTCATTCCTATAAAAAATTATTCAAAAAATGCCCACTGGCCCTGTATTTTGGGATGGATAGTAGTAAACGTGACCATAGATATAGGCATTATTCGAGATAATGATAGCTAACTACATTCAGATTCGTTATCATACTCTCTTGCGTCTGCAGCAAACGCTGTCGCTATAAGGATTTTATTCAGATTTATGTCAAGATTTTTTAGTATAATCAAAGCTCTTACTTGCACCGGGTTTCCTACAAGAACATTGTTTGCCGGAAAGCGTAGAATTTAAATAACATATCAGTTAAATAACATATCGATCAAATTACTGTACGCAACACAATTTATCTCACTTGATTATCTTTCTCCTTCATCGAGGGTATTTCTATACTTTTTGTTATCGGTGTTTTTTTACTGATTCTACACTCTATTTTATGGAACTATTGCAAATTTAAGTGTTCGTCAACGAGGGATATACATATTTCAATACGTATACATTCGTTGTAATCATATTAAATAATCACATTTAAGAATAATATCATGACTATGCAACATATGGGCACTGTTCGTAGCTTCGTGTGTATCTGAATGAAGAAAAAAAAGAAACAAGAATAGCATTCAGATCAAAAGCGCAAGAGAAGCAGAAATATTACAATACTGAAAATACGTATATCGTGTGAAAACGTTACAGACCGCGCTATCACACTATACTGCCATGCAACAATCAAATAAACACGAGAAGCTATGAGAAAGCAAAAACGATTCACAATCATTTTGTCGTTGGCGAAAAACGTGGACGTTGAAAACTTTGTCAGTTTTCCTGCATAAGTTTCGATTAGCCTGAGCACTTCTGATTTTGAAAGAATGCTCAAGGCGCTGGAAATAAGCACCACACTTAAAACTGCTTAATTACAGCACAAAAATTTTGTTAGTAACAATATTCTTTGGACTTTAAAACTCTAAAAAATGGTGGGTAACTCATTTCTAGTTGGAAATGCGAATACTCACTTTTTTGGGATATTACAAAGGTTAAGGAAATTCAAAATTCAAGTAGGTTTTTTACCCATAGATTTCCTAACAGATTCTGATAGAGCTCAACGCGTTGATTCCGAATATGTATAATTCATTCAGAAAAGGTTGTACGTTTTAATGTCAAAAACACTGAAATACTAAAAAACTTGAGATCGTAAAAAATAGACTTGTTTCGAAAAATCGCTTATGGTCTTTGAACCATAAGTCTTTCTGATTTCGTTTATTTTTATTCGTTATCTACGTGAAAACTGATTTAGAAAATGCGCTTGCCGACTATAGAACATGAATTTTTAAGCACCATGGGTTAAACCTAGATCAACGATTCTGACCATGAGAGAATATGATCTAGGCTTAACCCATGGTGCTTAAAAATTCATGTTCTATAGTCGGCAAGCGCTTTTTCTAAATCAGTTTTTCAAGTCTGTAGCCTTAGAAAGAATTAGAGGCCCGCAAGTCTCTAGCCTTGTTAGAAAAAAAGATTATAGCCATTTCACCCTCGCAGCGAAAAAATGCATTTTCTGACGGATTTGGCCTAAATTATAGAAAGCCTGCTGACCACATTCCCTAAAATAGCACCCTGAAGTTGGTCTCAAATGAAAGGGCGCATCGATTTCTATATATTTCCATGAAGAAATGTTATCCTAGGCCTTGGGGTCTTGAGACAGCGATTTGTGAAAAAGTCGGTCTTCTAGAATACCTATAGAAAATACGCTACAGGTCGAAACGTCGGCATTAAAGCGAATGGGTTTATATTCGTAATATTAAACAGACTGTAAGTCGATCGCCCAAAAGAGCTTTCTTTCGATATATAATGTAGACCGAAATCTTGGTTCTTTCATGGTGCGAAAGTTGAAATACTATCGTTAGCTATGCTGAAAAGGTCATCTTTAACAGTAATATGGCAAAAACGTGGATGTTGGTGGTGTACATAACAATTGAGCAATAGACAGTTTTGTTCGCCGTTTAAAACTACATCGAATGGTATACAGAAGTTTCCTTCAAACTTGTTGTGTTCTGAGAAAATTATGAAAAACGCCTCGGAATGGACTCGCGGAGTTATTGTTCAAAGTTGATCGATTTTCTGACAGATATGAAGTCCGAGGCGGATCCGACGGTGTAGAACCCCATAAAACTGTATGCTCTTTCATTCTAGATACCTTTCGAGAAGATCTGAAATGGGGCTGATCCTCGTTCTTATTGCACCCCGTCCTTTGTCATGAACTGTTTTGATACTAAAGTTATATTGACATGACTTCACTTTCTCTCTTTTTTTTGTTTCTTCAAAAGACAGTGAAACCCTATATTTGCTTGTTTTACTGACTTATGTTTTTTCAAAAAATTGACTTATAAGCAACTCGTCATCAACATCAAATTCGGCCAGGCACAGTGGGCATCCACGTGTAGATTTGGTCGAAGGATAAAAATTTTTCTAATCTTTTTAGGTGTATTATATATATGAAATGTCATCTTTCCTTACTGATAAAAATAATTTTATACTAAGCTTTGGAGCGGCGAAAACACAGAAGTTAGAAATACAGCTAAGAACTCATTAGTATTGTAAAAAGCTGATTAAGTAAAGACAGAAAAAACAGTGTACAAAATACTTTTAAATGAAGTCGACCAACTAATAGATAATAACAAGAGATGGTTGGACTCTGTTTCTTCCGTATATTAGATGGAATGCGAAAATTTTCTCTTTCTTCGATGCGATCCGTTTCGAATTCTAATACTTTATACGATCCGTACATCCAACTGGATTTGGCCGATAAAATGCACATCGTATGACCTAATTGGTGAAAGGAACTACTGAATCTGACATAGGTGTGGCACTTTCTCGTTTCTTTCTCAAAAAAAGGAAATTAAAAACTGACTTTTCTTTCTTCTGGAAAAGGAAAGTTTTTACTTTCCTAGTGTTCTTTCCAAAAAGAAAGAAAAGGAAAGTTTCTGGAAAACCAGCTTTTCAATAGCTCTAATAAATAACGAGAGCCTTTCTCGATGCGGCCTAGTTGTAGCCGGCAAATTTCTGATTTGATTGAGACATCGTCTAGCTCTATACGACCTTTGTTTGCAAAGTTATAGAATTTATAAGAAAAGCCGTAAATGTTCATTTTCAGCTCAAAGTTGCAGAAATTCGAAGAAATAAATGTAGGGCTTTTCTTGTAAATTCTAACCAAAGACATTTTCTCTCAAATTACTACCGAAATTCATGAACTGAACATCTTGAACGAGCGTGATACATTTTCTAACTAATGAAAGCAGGGATATTTTTTCAAATATTGATGTTTATAGTCAAAATTCACACTTATGTTTTAAAAAAAATAGAATCTGATAGAAATTTGTTACCATTAATCAAGGTTCAAATGACTTTTCACAGTTGTCGTAGATAGGTTTACAAGAAATTTAGATGTTCAGCAAGGTGCACACTTTGTCGTGACAGTAGACATTCGCAGAACGAACCAAGTTGAGCTTCAGGATCGGTCTAGATGGATGAATACGTAATTGAATTCGAGGGATGGCATGATGATTGCTGAACTCAAAGCACATGGCATGGTTCGGTACCAATGTAACACCCCAGTTGACTAACTATGATGAACTCCTACATAAGCACCTAGCATGACTAATAACACTAATAATTTAAAGGTACAGGTTTACGCTTCGAATAGAAAAATAAATAAAAATTATGTACCTAATTAATTTAATTAATTAAATGATTTTGTAGATAATATACATACTTGTGATAATGATAATGTAGTGTTAATGATGTAGATAAATTAAATAACAATTGTTAAGCTTAAACATCAAGTAAATTACTCACCATATGGAAAACAATTTAGTATCTGAATTTATTTTAGTGCTAGATGGAACAGACAACAGTACAATTAATAGTCAAATAAAATCATTTTTACATAGGTATATAAGAAAAAAAGGAATATAATTTATACGTTTAGCTGCCTTCCACAGCTTTACCTTTTCTATCTTGGATCCTTCAAATGATTGATTGTACAGATAAGTGTATCATTTAAAAAAGAAAGAAAATTTACATGTATGTTACATACCCATGGCCAGCGCATTAGCTTCGGAAGAACAACTTCCATTCAGCTGGGATAAAATATGTGAACTTATAGAATCAGGTGAATTAGGTCGACTTATTCGGTACCCAGATGATAGTATTCGTTATTCAACATGGTGTGACAATATCATCACTCTATATGGTAGTACGGAAAAATATTTTTTAGAACAACGTCTCGGCTGGCATTTACCAATTGAACCACTAAGTCCAATTCTATTAAAAAATTCTGATGATTATCAAATATTGTTAAATGATTTTCCCTACGCTTTTGACAAAAACATAACCCATTTTGTTCTTTGGACAAAAGTCCCATTTGGTCAGGATAAAAATGGTTATTTGGATGAGTCAACCACCAAATCGATTCAAGAATTTATTAACAAAAAATTTGTGACTCATTTTGGTCAAGAAAATGTTCGATGGTTTAAAAATTATAATTCAGCTTCGAGTATACCAACAATTTCACATTTTCATATTCTGATTTACGATCGAAATCGACAATATTCATCATTGAAAGATGATATTTTAGAAAAAATTAATACTTAGACGAACTTGAAACCGAACTGATAGAGAAAATGAAACTTGTGAAAGTTACAGTTGTGAGGAAGTGCAATTGTGAAACTTACAGTGAATATCCGAATATTTAATTTTGTTTCTTTTCGAACTTGTGAAATCAAGGTTTTCATGTTATTAGTTGTTCGATGTATCTTCGCCTTAAAAAATGCTGAAACTCTATTATCATATTACTAAGCCTGTCTTTCGGATGAAAGAAAAGTTCATTTTTTCTCAACTGATCAAAGAGTGGTTTTGAATAATTGATTACAGCTCGGATAAGTAGATTTTCGAATCAAAAATTCGTTTAGTTAGTGATTTTGGAAAATGGCGTGTACATTCTACAGGAGTATTTGTCCCAGGAGAAAATTCTTGAATGCAGATCTTGATAAATCTTTAACGTTTTCTCAAGTTTCCTCTCAGATCTTTCAAGAACTTGTGCAGATTTATCGAAATCTTTCGACATTCTGAGTGAAAAGCAGTGCTGCAGATTTTCCACAAGTTTTGTATCAGAATCCGCCCTCCGGTCGCGGTTCGCAACCAGGATAGCTGAGAAGTGTTGTGAACTTTTCTGATTTTCAAAGTGCACAATGTAATATAAAGCTAAGTTTTCTGGACACTGTGAGCGATGGTCTCACTAAATTGGAGCTAATATTAAGCAGATTGTTGCTGGAAGCTGAATCCCCTTTTATTAAAAAACTTAAAAAAGAGATGGAAATGGATAAACACGAAACGAATAACAAGTGACGATGTGTATGATACGCGATGGCGTCTAGAAGTGTTACTAAAAATGAGAAACACACACTATTTATATATCTATGGATAAAACAGAGACCAAAGGAAAAGAACCATAGCTATATATGAACGAGGGAGAAAACGGTTGAATGTAGATAACAACGGACTGGACGAAGAAAGAAAATAATTCTCTAATAACACATGCAGGATCTAGAAGTCACGCGGCTAAACATGTGACGAGATGATGCAATAATATACGCTTAGATTATGATTACACGTTATGTGTAAGGCCCACGCCTGTAGCAGTTCTTTCCCAGAGAAAAAAATGTCTTTTATCCAAATTTTCAACAGATAATAGTTCTTCACTGTTCCTTCCTCTCTTAATTCACCAGGATTTGTGTTGATACATGTACTGTTCACGATGACTACCAGTCACTGTTCTTGTTCCTTCACCGGGATTTGTTGATGGATGGGAATGATCAGATCTGAATGATCGATCTGTTGCTCTTGGTCTTGGACGAGGGTCAAATGCTTCTGAATGAGCTGAATGCTCTGGTCTAATAGACCGATCTCTTGATGTTGATGTTCGACGATGAGATGAATGATCTGGTCCAGTAGATCGATCTTTTTTTGATCGATCGTAATCTATTTTTGATCGATTTATCGTGCATGAGACTGTTGTTGTTTTTCTATAAGAATACTGGAAAAAATTGAGGTATATGCTCACAATACACATTGCGAAAATAAAACGGAAAAACAACAACAGTGGCGACTTCACTCTCACCCTCATAATGAAAGTTTTTGATTGTGATCAAATGAAATTTACGTTTTAGACTATAGAAACGCCTTTTTACTAATTAGGCATGCACCGGTTTCGGTTGGATCATAACCGAAATCGCTTATTATGAGGAATTTGATTTTGTGGCAAAATCGTTTGCTTTTAAAAAAAATTAATTTGTAGAAAAAAACCCTGCGTATATTATCGGTATAGCGGAATAGCGAATAGTGAACTAGTACTGTATTGAAATAGCGGTATTTAGACTATTCGTATTTAGAAATTGCTATTTAGACTATTTAGACCATTTACACTAGTTTGACTATTTAGTCCATTTTTGGACGAATTTGACCAATTTGAGGGTTCTGGTGATCAAGATGCACATAGTATGCAGAAGCTCCATTGATTTTAATAAGTGCTAGAGAACCCATTTTTGATTATTTTCATCAAAAATTAAAACGTCGTAACTCGACCAAACTCCATCCAACCTACCTCAGAATTTCATGATATAGTATTTTTAATCTGCATTATAGCGTAAAGGTCAATAAATGTTTCGATAACCAACAAAAAATACTCCAGTTTTTCAAAAGGATTTCCCCGAAATCTTTAGAACTGAGAGAATATTTTTTATTGATCTTAACTACACAATCAGAGGGAGCGGATAAAACAGAGTATATCTTGATATTCTGACATAGCTGAAATGGATTTTGACCGAGTTAGGAATTTTCAATTTTGACAAAAATACCAAGAATGAGTTATTTCACCTAGTACAAATTTTCACTCGGTTCTTGCATTTTGTTCTGAAAGCTACTATTCCCATGAGATTCGGTGTGGTCGAGGGTGAGAGTCGACAACCTATGCATTCATGCATTTTTTAAAGTCCTAGGCCGAAGAATAGAGGAGACTCAGTGCTTCGAGAAAAACGTCTGACGTCCAGTAAAATGAAACCTTTGTTTAGATCTTATTTTGTAGAGGATACTTTAGACTGTCTGTCTTTGCAACAGAATGCACAGACTGCTATGTAAAACTTTTGATTTAGAAACTGGTTTTCCAGCGGGCCTCTGAAAATCAATGTTAAACCTTCCTTTTGTTAGGTTTCATAAATTTTCGCAAAAATGCCTTGGCTTCTGAAGTATAGGCTAAACTGCCCTCTTTCGATTACTGAAAATCGCAGATCTCTATCTCTTTTTGTTCTCGAATTATTCAAAAAATAGCCACACCCAGGGACAATAGATAGACCCTTGACTTCAAACTCGATCAAACTCAGATTCATACCTACGCATTCATATGTATTCGTACTTATCCAGTCATTCTTTGATTATTAAAATAAATGGGCTTTTATTATGCACTTGCAGATTTCCGCAATTTGTATAAAAACCCTAAATATTACAAAATAGAAGCCATTGATTATGCATCAAGTACATCGAGAATGTAAAGAAACAAGTTCATATGGCTTTTTCAGGCATTTACTTGTTGTTTTGTAGTAGAAAAAAGTATATACAGATAGACCCTTGACTTCAAACTCGATCAAACTCAGACTCATACCTACGCATTCATATGTATTCGTACTTGATTTAAACGCATTTATTAGTAGACCAATCGCCAAATGGCATTGTAGGTCCACGATTCTCATATGAGGAAGATGTGTGAGCATGATAAAAAAACATTGAAGATAGAGAAATAGTACGCATAAATAAAAATTTAAAAAGAAAAAAGAAAATGGAACAAATATGTGAAATGGTCTAAATGTAAGTGAGTAAGTGTCTGTGAATAGGAAGGACAGAAAAATGGAAGATGTCATGTACGGTGAGCGAAAACACTGATAATACAGTAAACAGTAAATCATCAGGTATGCCGAAATCTGTTTGTCTCATGAATAAACTCACATACGGCGTTGTATAGTTTATACAAGTCCGTAACGGATATTTGTCGAAGAGAAGAATCACGAAGCAGAAGATGTATTCGTACTTATCCGGTCATTCTTTGATTATTAAAATAAATGGGCTTTTATTATGCACTTGCAGATTTCCGCAATTTGTATAAAAACCCTAAATATTACAAAATAGAAGCCATTGATTATGCATCAAGTACATCGAGAATGTAAAGAAACAAGTTCATATGGCTTTTTCAGGCATTTACTTGTTGTTTTGTAGTAGAAGAAATTATTTATAATGTCCTCTACAAAATAAAATCTAGTGAAAGTATGAGCTAAACTGTCCTCTTTCGCCTACTGAAAACCGCAAATCTCTCTTTTTGTTCTCGAGTTATTCAAAAAATAGTCACACCCACGGACTACCGAGTATATCGAGAAGGTAAAGAAACTGAGAGTTCCTTCTAATATACATTTTACCGAATTGTCTCAATGGTGGTCTTCTATTCTGCGGAGGGGGTGTTCCTTGATCGGATGATCTGGATACAGAGTAGCCATTTATCTAATCACATTCATCGATCTCACATCGATATAACTACTCGTTTAACAGGAGGCAAGGGGAAACGTTAAATTTGTGCTGTAATGTCCTGCTCGTAAATGTTGAACAGAAATTGAAAGATACACTACTGGGTACGAGAATATCCATACCATCCATTGCTAATAGAAGAATAGAGGCTCTCCACTGTCGTGTAAGAGTTGATTTCTCCGCACTTTGTTCACATCTGAAAAAACATAAAATCACACTTGACAATATTTGTGAACAGTGTTCTACTAATAGTGTACAAGATCCTAAACATTATTTTCTTGAATGTCCTGCTTATAACCAGCAGAGAAGTAAACTACTTGAAACGCTTGAAGACAATGTGATAGCCCAAGCACGAAAAAAAGTCATGAAGCGGGAGCTGCATCTAGATTAAAAGGTACATTTATCTAGCTTCAGCTAGATGCAGTGAAATACATGAAAATTTGATATAGCTTCAGCTAGATTGAATCTAGCTTCAACTGGGTACAACTAGTTGCTATTGATTAATCGGGCAATTCATTGCGCCATTAATTGGCCAATGCAGCGGCCGTTTCAGCTAGTACACGATTTCAATCAGCATGTAGCTAGATAAATGTACCTTTTAATCTAGTTAATCTAGCTATAAGTGGGCGCTGCAGCTATTTTTGCAGCTAGATTTTCTCGCTTACTCAGTTTTGCTTGGGAGGGGCTGATGTTGGAACTCTTTTATTGTGTGGAAATATAGAAGATAAAAATAAAATATTTGTAATCTATCAAGCAGCTTGCTCATATACATTGGACACAGAACGATTCAGTTAAGCTCTGAATACCTTTGTATCCCTCTTTTTTTTTAAATCACTTATTATACTATGAAAGATATCTCTCTGCTCATAAGATAAATAAAAAAACGTATAGTTAAAAGATCTGAATATTGATGTATATGAGTGAATCGTATATTAATTGTAAAATTGGTTGTTTAGTACCGTTTCTGCCATAAATCCGTAGTGGTTTGTCGGATTCCTAAATTTTTTTTATTTTACTCATCTCATCACCTCTCACTACCGATAAAATTTTGAGCATTCTATATTTTCAGGCGAGTGAGATACACGCATGAAAAAGAAGAAAACGCGTTTTTATCTTGACTAGCACGACTAAAAACGCAATTTTCACATCAAAGACAAATGATAAAGAAAAAGCTGACCAGTGGATCGTATAGAGCGCAAAATTCTCTATCCATCCATATCATTTACGATTTCGCTTCAGCACTTTGACACAGACTTTTTTGGAGAATTAAGTTTTCCGTATAAACTGTAGGGAGACATCAAAATCGGTCTGACGGATTTAGGCGGTACTTAAGCGTAAAATTGATTCCACCATGAGATAGAACATCAAAAACACTCCAGAAAACACACAAAAGTATTCTACTAAACGCCTATTAAGTGGTCCAAAAATGACTAAGTTTAGGTTTTTCACTCAGTTTGTAGGGAGAGACTTTGGAACTTGGTTTGCCCATAAGTCAATGAGATTGTATCTAAATTGTTTCAAACTTTCAGAACCAGAAGCAGGTAGGAAGTTGTACGAGTGGTAAAAATTTCAGCACTTAAAGTTCATGCCTTTTTCCCTAGTAAACTTCGCGTTATGCCGCAAAATGTAGGGAGACTTTTTTTGTAGGGAGAGATTCGTTTCGAACTTTTTTCCTATTCATACCTGTGCAGAACTGAGAAAAGTAAATTTTAATGGGTTTTCGAACACGCTCTTTCTAGTAAAGCAAACAGAACTACGTAAAACAAAAGCTTTGGAAGTATTTACTAATAAGCCATTTCGCGGTTGTGGTTTTTAGACTTTTTTCGAGGATCAATCGACTAAATATCTTTTGGGGGAAAACAATGAAACCTCACACATCAGGCACGGCATCTTTCCACGAGCTAAGAGCTACGAAAGACGGAAAGCTTTATGCTAAAGAATTGTCGAGCGATAAAGAACAGTTGTTGAAAGTGAAGTTCTAAAAAAAATGAACAGTTGTTTTTTTACAGTTGAACCAATGTTTATCAGTTTGTAAATTTTTCGATTCAAGTAATTTCTTTTTTGTGTTGTTCCTAGCTTCTTGTGTTTTTCAGTCGTTTGAAAAGCTAGAAACACACAAACATTGCCACGTTGATCAGCACACTCGATTAACTAGGCGGCGACTCATTTTTATATGCATAGACATTTGCGGACTCGCATGGGTCTGTCCGCAGGAAACCTTTCGAGGTCGGACCAGTTTATCGCGGAACCAGTGGTTATATAAAAGCTGCAGAAAGTACGCTGAGCTATTTGTTGATCCACCAGACGGAGAAAAAGTCGCAAAGATTCTCTGAAAGCGTTTTTTAACAAAAATAATTCCAACGGGTACATCCCCTGCAGGTAATTTTTCCCGCTCAATTGCTCCTAAGCTAGTAGATAATGCTGCCCAGAGGTGTCCTGCGTAAATTGTAGGTCTCTATCTTGTTTCTATTAGAAATTATTTTGAAAATATCATGGGTCACCATT